TAAGTTAAATTTTAGTTCCAAATTTTGGTCTTATTTATTATTATTTTTAAAAAATGTTCTTTATTTTTGTTTCTTTTTTAAGGATAAAATATGTAATAATAGAAATTATTTCTAAATCCTTAATTTAAAGATAAATTCAAAAATGGTTATTATTTTAAGATAAAGAAAATACATTTTTAAAATTTTTACATGTAAATGATTTTTTTTAAAATTTAATTTGATAAAAATAATATTACAATCTTAATTAATTAAAAAATTAAGCTATCTTAATTATTTATCATTAGTTTTGATTAATTATAATTTAGTCCATTTAAGGATTTAGTTGAGTAAATTGTATTGTAAAATAGTTTGAATATAAAACTTAATTGAAAATTTTGAAGTTAAAGTATAGTTTTTCAGAACTACATGCGCTACATAATTGGTAACACATAAGCATGTCATAAGATTTTGTTAAAAAAACTAACGACAGTTTATTAGATAGATAAATTTGAAATGATTTTTAAAGTTTATAAATAATTTTAAAAAAAACTAAACTTTCTATATTAAAATATAAAAAAAGTAATAGTTAGTAGATGAAAAATTAAATTTAAGTCTCGATTTTGACTTGTTGACTTTCGAATTCCTTGCAGGGCAAGGAGTTTAGGACGCGTGCATCTGAAGCAGCAGCCAGTCGCCATTACTTGTTAACTTTCGAATTCTTTCCAGGGCAAGGAGTTTAGGAAGCTTGCATCTGACGCAGCAGCCAGTCGGCATTACCACTGTATAAATAGCGGGACTCACCCAATGGTTCGCATTCCATCTCTTCAACATCCCCTGATTTCAGAAATGGCCTCCATGTTTTCCACATCCGAGATGTCTAACATTGCATCCACATTGCTCTCCACCTACGCCTCATTTGCCGGAACCTTAATGCTCCTCCGATCCATGGCAAGAGAGCTCATTCCTGAGCAGCTCAGATCTTACTTCTTCTCCCTTTTTCACTACCTCTTCACCCCTCCCTCTACCGACCTCACTCTCGTTATCAACGAATCCAGCGGGGTGTCAAGTAATGAAGTCTACAATGCCGCCGACCTCTATCTTGCCACCAAGATCAGCCCCAAAACAGAGAGGCTCAAGCTCAGCAAAACCGAGAGGCAAAAGAATTTCGCGATCTCAATCGAAAAGGATGAAGAGGTCGTCGATATTTTTGAGGGAATTGAGTTGAAATGGAGGTATAACTGCATAGAGCCCCGCGAAAAGCATTCTGCAGAGAAAAAATTCTTTGAACTCAGCTTCAACAAGAAGTTCAAAGATAAAATCGTCGACTTTTATTTACCTCATGTTTTGGCCAGGGCTAAACAAATCAAAGAAGAGTCCAAAGTGGTTAAGATCTATAATCGTGACTGTCCTCGCGGCGATGATGATACTGGCATCTGGGGTTCCATGAATCTTGAGCATCCAGCCACATTTGACACCGTAGCCATGGATTCGGAGCTGAAGAAGATGATAATCGATGATTTGGAGAGGTTCGTGAGGAGGAGAGAGTTCTACAAGAAAGTGGGGAAGGCCTGGAAACGAGGGTATTTGTTGTACGGCCCTCCAGGCACTGGAAAATCGAGTTTGATTGCTGCCATGGCCAATTACCTCAAGTTTGATATATACGATCTGGAGCTTGCAAGTATATACTCCAATTCGGACTTGAGAAACGTATTGTTATCAACAACTAACAGGTCAATTATTGTGATCGAGGACATAGATTGCAGCATTCAGGTTCAAGACAGAGAAAATGGCTTAGAATCTGATAATTCAAACAGAAGGGTGGGTACCATTTTCGGGTTTGATTAAAGACCATTAGTTTCGTTCAACCTTTTAATAATGTTTGAGACTCTAATTCCTCTGTTTTTTCTCACTGTAGTTAACGCTATCTGGCATATTGAACTTCATTGATGGACTGTGGTCAAGCTGTGGGGACGAGAAAATCATTGTGTTCACGACCAACCACAAGGACAGGCTTGACCCGGCACTGCTGCGTCCTGGCAGGATGGACGTCCACATCAACCTGTCCTATTGCACCGTTGATGCGTTCAGGATCTTGGCTTCTAATTACCTGGACATCAGCAACAGAGACCATCCCCTGTTTGGAGAAATCGAAAGCTTGATACAGAGCACGGAGGTGACCCCAGCAGAGGTGGCAGAGGAACTGATGAGGAGTGAAGATGCTGACCTTGCCCTTCAAGGACTTGTTAACTTCATTAAACACAAGAGGAGTAAATGCCATAAAAATGAAGAGGAAGTTGCTGAGATTGAAGAAGCAAACAGTTTTAAAAGTGGTAATGAGGAAAAGGAAATTAGTGTAACAAGGAAGAGACGAAGTGGGGTCAGGATAGCAACACGAAGACGGCCAGGAAAGGGAGGGACAAAGGATCGATTGGGTAGAAGTGCCAAAATGTTTTTTCACTAAAAAAATACAATATAGACTTTGGTTGCAGAGTCCCTGCTTCATTTGGTGTTGTTGTTAACGTATGAGATAAAGTCCGTTAACTAGTT